TCCTAATACATGGCATCTATTATGTATTTTCCACATTGATAATAACCTTAAAAAAAATCTTAAAGGAAAGTTGGGTAATCAGTTTGAGGAATTTCATTATAAATTTTATACGTGTAGGAATTCATTATGTGAGGACTTATTTGAATCTTGATGGAATTAACTAATTAATCAATATCCTGCAGCAGCCAAATACTTGTCAAGTACACTTTACTCTGCCAAAGAATCATGGGCAATACCCTGGATATATAAATGTTTCACGGCCAGTGCACAAAGTACACAAAGAATAGAGTCAATCAATAAACATATACATGATAAAGTGGGCTGCTCTATATCACTATCCAATTTATTACATAGTATAAAAAATTATGTTAAGAATGAGGAACACCTTGAAAGATTTGATATTTAATGAAATACTTTACCTACCATTGGCATGCCAATGCTAAATACAAGATTCTTTGGTCAGGTTGATGCTGTTATTAAAGATTATTTAACTCCTATGATACTTGGAAAATAAAGGGCACAGATGAATGAATCTGTGTGCTATGATGTTGTTCAAGTTGTAGAGTGGAAACATTTGATAAGTGTAATTATTTTTTAATATATTAAGTGTGGTATTAGGTATAGGTTTTTCATACTAATAATACATTGAGAATTTTTTTGACAGACGGAAACTGAAGATGTGCAGATCTTGGAATTAGAGAACAAGAACAAGATATGCAGCAGATTCTTTTTGGTTCTTTAGTAAGAACAATACCTCATGAACAAATTTTAGAGGTATGGAACGTACATGCCACAGAAACACAAGGAGTTGGCCATTACATAATCTTGCTTGATGACGGCACATATTTGTGTACCTGTCTTCTTCTGGTTAATAAGGGGTTGGTGTGTCGACACTTTTTTCATGTCGGTACTTACTCATAATATGCCACTTTTTATATTAGTATAATCCCAAGCCGATGGTTTATGAATACTGATATTGACCAGAATAGTCTTTTGCAGCAACATTCTTCTATTCCAGTATGTAGTGTGGCACGATTATTAGATAGTATGGCATTCAAAAAAAGTGTTGATTTTCAGCATTTGTTCTTGATTCGATCTAATTTATCAGGTTCTGAACAATCTATAAAATCAAATAAGACTAAATACACAGAGTTATCAAAGATATCAAGAAAGGCGATTGATTATGCTCTCAAGACTGATTTGCACCAAGAGCTATTAAAAGTATTGAAGTCTTTTATTTTTGATGCACAGAACAAATCAAATGACAAGGATACAGAAAAACATTTAGCTGATATCAATAATCCGGCAATAGTTAAGCATAGAGGATAACCTCCTAAAAGACTCAAGACAAGTTTTGAAAATGAGAATACTATATCTAAAGAAAATCTACCTAAAAGACTTAAAGCAAGTATTGAGAATAAGAATACTATACCTAATGAAAACTGTGTTTTTAAAAACCATATTGATATTAATGTGGTGGAAAACAATAGTTCTTTAGCAAATAGTAGGCGAAAATGTGGAAAACATAAACAGTATAGACACTATACAAAAACTTGTCAAAATATTGAATGATATGTGCAATTTTTAGTGAGATGCTTTAGTATTAGTATGAATTACAGAATTATATATTGTTATACATATGCATGAATACAATATAATACTGGTTGCAATTTATTTGATCAAAGTAGATTTTACGTGCATATATACTAACTATAGTTATTTTAGCATGCAAATTTCTGATTAAATGCCTTCCTTATTTAGATCATCTAAAGTCACAAATTTATAAATTAAAAACATGTAACACATATAAATTATGGCTTTAGGCGATTTCTTGCATACCGATATATTTACTTGTGTATAATAAGTTATGTAGTACGTACATACCAGGGCTTAAAATATTATAGTATTTTGCCGGCTATTCATAGTGTTGTTTTTGATCTATGATTTATTGAAGATTTTTTGATGAATCAAAAATAACACCTCGAACAATTACCACTAGCATAGTAAATAGCCGGCAAAATACTATAGTATTTTAAGCCCTGATACGTACATACCTGGTACATAAATTATGTGGATCTATTTTGCATTTTTGTGTATAATAAGTTATGTAGTATGTATGTAAGTTATGTGTATCTATTTTGCATTTTTTCGTATTAGAGTCTAAAGCTGGATAGTAATTTATATGTGTCACATGATTTTTAATTTATAAATTTGTTAGTAATAGTTGAATACTATATAGAGCGAATTTAGAATTTTAATAATATATAGATAGATAAATAATTATTTTTGATTGGCTAAAATTCAATTATAAAACTATGTGTTTGTACACACCTTGTACAAATAGAAATTGCCTAAAAACAATTATATATAGTGCTAAAACACTATAAGTATATTTTATAATAATTGAAAGTTAATATGTATAAAATTTTTATTAGTAAATATTAATAAAATTTTGTATAAATATTATTCTAATATTTAACTATATTTTGACAAATTTTAAATAAAATTAATTAAATAATTAATTTAAAATAATTTTTTTATACTGTATATACTAAATTTAATATATTTGGCTTATAGATATCTAATAAATAAATTAAATAAATTAAATTAAATAAATTAAATAAAAAATAAATGTATATACTGCACTTTGTGATGTGCTAATTCATTATATGAATATAAATTAAATCCATGTCAAAACAATTTTTATATAAAAAATCAATTAGATTTAGATTAGGGTTAGGGTTGGAGCTAAGGTTAGGATTAGGGTAGAGTTAGTATATACCAAAATTTTGCAAGAAATTTTTTTTGTTAGAAATTCCAAAAAATTCCACACAAAATTAATTTGCATATTATACCTGATCTTCAAATCTAATTGGTCAGGCAATGCATAATCATAACGCAGAATGTGAAGTCTAGAAAACTCCTTAAATAAATTAAATAAATTAAACAGGGTTAGGGTTTTGTAGCCTAATGGTTTAGGCATCTAATCCTCTACAAACAAGATTAAAGGTTTAATTATAGCTAGTAGTAATTAATTTAATTAATTGTTTCTGTAATCTTTAAAAGCTTTTGAATATGAAACTCTGATAGTAAAACTATGTAATATATATATTTGGCCAATAAAGAATTCTTGGAAGAAGCCTCGAGCCATAGAGAGGACTGGGTACTGTATAACATGAATTACAAAAAGTAATACTGCAGAAGACTATATATATAAATCTTGAAGATGTGGCCTTTAAGTAGCACCAACATCTAGTAATAGACCTGACTGAAAAGATAGTATAAAGTGATATTTTTAAAAGTAGTGAACATAGTAAGAGCTATAGTAAAAGAATAGCTTTATCAAATATAAAACACTTCTAGTGTGAGGAAACAAGGAAAACTGGCTAAAAAAAAACCTAAAAAGCATGAAAGCAAGTGCTCTAGTACAAAAATAAAGATAGTTAGTGAGTAATATGTCAAATAACCTATATGGAAGTTAATGACGAAATATAGCAGAAGCACAGGTTCCAATTTACTGGCTTGTAATAGTAATTAAATAAGATACTTAACTTCTATCCTAAGGATCTAGACTTCTGTAATATTATACCAATAGGGAGTATATAAAAGGAGCAATAGCCTAACTTGGTGATATATGATGTGAATACCTAGATCAACATAAAATAACTCTCCTAATAGTGGTTTGAAATATAGGTCTTATAATAGCAGCAGCATTTGGCTTAAGATAGGACTTAAAGTAACTTCTTTAAAGACACCAAACTAGAAGCAAAAAGAGCATCTACTCGAAAGACACCAATTTGGAAATAATACAAGAAATGAATTAGAAGTAATATAATAAGTGATGAGAGATAAAAGTTGGTCAATAAACATTGTACAGTAGTATAAGTGGGATCTATATGATACAATAGGTTTGGGAACTATCTAGTAATCTAGTAACTAATCTAATTGCAGAGCAGTTATTAAAGAGGTAAAAATTTTATATAGCAGGTCACATATATATACTTAAATTAATAACTGGGTGAGCTAATATATATAATATATATTAGATAGTTGTAAATATACTTGTGACATTTGTAATGAAAAAATATCTTAATGTAAATCTAATAAACAGTATTGGCAAAACTGCCAAATTAAAAAAAAAATTAAATAAATTAAATAAATAATATTTAAAGTTTCTTTTATTTTCTCTAAAACTAATAGTAGCTAGTCTTAAATTAGTTTATAAATAGAAAACTTTAAAGATAAAATACTATATTTTAGTAAATATACAAAATTTTTAATTAGTTTATATTATGTATTATTTTGATATAAAAAAATATAACTAATTTTCTATATATAGTGTCTTGTTGCCTACATAATGCTGACCTTCAGTGTTTATATATGATTTGCCTTAACAATATATTCACTCATTTTTAGGGCTCTAACTTACTAGAGCTTATCTATTAAATCACTATAAGCCTATTGCTGACTTGTCAAAATTATTTATTTTTCTTTTTTTAAAAACTTTTCCTACTAAATTTAAGCAGAAAAAGTTAATTTTTTACTTTTATACAAAAAAAAACAAACTGCTATAGATACAAAAGAAAAAGAAACAAATTTAAAAAAAGAAAATAAAAAAAAAATAAAAAAAACTACATATAAAAGAAAAAAAAAAAAAATCCTAAATATCATTCAATTATAACTAAAAAAAGATAAAAAAAGTATAAAAGAAAAATAAATAAATAACCTAGCATACTATTATAACTTGTGCATAGTTAAAAAAATTATATACTACAGTAGATGCAATATTTATATATCTCTACTATAAGACTATGCTTTAATATTAAATTTTTTTTTGATCTAACTTTAGATATTTTTATAAACCTAATTCATATTTCAAGCCAGATGCTGCTACTATCTAAGAACCTATATTTCAAGCTATCTGCTACTACTATTAGAGATTTCTTTTTTAACCAGAACTTATTTTAGTATTTAAACATTGTATCTATCTCTAAACATATAGTTGCTATCTACCAGTCTATTCAAATTTGGAATATAAACAATGCTGATCTTTTAAAGAATATAAGCCAAATCTTTACTTTTTATAAAAAATTTTAGAATAATAGCAAAAAAGAGTAAATAAGTATAAGAGGAGCTACTTGATCAAATAAAAAGAGTATAGTTTAAGAAAAGCAAGTTATTTACTATTTCTTAGTTGTTTTGCAACAAAACACTTTGTTAACAGAAAACTGTCTTGTGTTTTTATCAAAATTATATATATAAAGACACTACCTTTTACTAGTTATTTTGTATAAAAACATTTTTAGCTTGTATATTATATATATAAAGAAGTCTCTTATTTAACAAACAGATTAATCTTTATAAAAACTATTTTGTTAACTATTTGCTACAGGTTCTATCTACTCTCTAGTATAGAAACTATGTTTTTTTTTGTTAGAAATTCTAGTTCAAGTGATTTGTTAGAAAGAGTATATATATATAAGCAAGATGATAAGTTTTGTTATTAGATTAATATCTTGATCATTTTAAAGATATATATTTAATTTTTATATACTGTATATAAATATAGTGATTAGGCCATGCAAAATTAATTAAATGGTTTTCATAACCCGGCCGGGTCAAAATTTGAAAATTTCAAAAAAAAAAT